CAAAATTGGAAGAGCCCAATTCTGCCTACAATGGAAGACTGGAGATTGAAAGTTTCGAATCTTGCTGAAATGGCAAAGATTTCGGCTTATTTGAAGAACTACTCGAATGAACAATTTTTATCAATATGGAGAAGATGGATTGTTTATATTCAAAAGAAGCATAGAGTGGTAGAATACAACTTAGGTTTTTAGATTTTTTGTATTTTGTTTACTTTTTCTATCTCTTTATGTAGATTAAGATATTTTGTGGAGTTAGAGATATTAGTATTTGTTTACTTATATATGAATATTATCCTGGGATTAGGTTTGGGAAGTCCGGGGTGGGGGGTGGGGGACTTTATTTGCTTATCTATGCTTATGGTTGTTTTTTATGATGGAAAATAATAAAATTTCTTTGGAAAAAAAAAAGAAAAAGAAAGTACTTCACACCGTGAAGATAATTAATCTGTGGAATTGATTACCACAAAACATGGCGATGGCCACTAACTTGAATTCCTTTAAAAGGGATTGGATAGATTCATGGAAAGTTAGTTTAAAAACTAGAAAGTTTGCAGACCCAATTTTATCTCTGCGTTGGGGACAGTTTGATTCCAAATACCAATTTTAGGTGAACGGTAGTGGGAGCACCCTAGAGGTGTTTCATTAACCACTCTAAGAAACAAAACCTTGCACTAGAATGGATCTTATCCTGCTCTAGCAAGACTATGCTTATGCTTATCCAATCTATCCAATCTACAGGGCTTATTAAAATTATGAAAATGCTGGTGATTTTGGGCTGGTCTTTCTCAGTCCAACTCACCTCAAGGGTTGTTGTGGGAAAAATAAGAAGCAGGAATATTGGGTATGTTTGCCATCTTGTGTTATACGTGAAAAGGTAGGATCAAAATGATGATGATTCTGTTTTTCTTTTAGCCATGTCTCAGACCTTACAGACAAATGGCATACAACCATTGAGCAAAACATGGGAACCCAGCTTATATGAACTTGAAAGAACACTTCAGGTACTGTAGTTACTTTCTTCTCCATCTTTGTATAGTGGTAACAGTTTGTATCATTGTATTGTTTTAGTGTGAATGTGATCTTCCACACCACAAATTTGTACCAGAAGAAATTGCCATGTTTCCCTGAAAATAAGACAACCCAGAAAATAAGCCCTACTATGATTTTTTAGCGTGTGCCTAACATAACCCCTACCCCAAAACACACCCTAGTTAAGAGCCCACCCACTCCATCCCACTGTCTGGTTGCTCACAGTCGCAACGGGGCAGGAGAGCGCGTGTCGCTCTAGTGCCGCCGCTACAAGATGAGGCGAGGTGGGGAGGGGTGGAGCTAGCCAAAATGACAGGGTAAGGAAACAAGTAACAGGATTGCCAATCCAGCTTTTGCTTTCTCCATGCCTGACTGAATTACCAGCCAAGTTCTCCCCACAATATAGAGGATGATTTTGTGCCTGTCAACACAGTTGGTTTCTCCACCCACCACCCACTAGCTGATCCTTAAAGAGATAAGTGTGTATAAACCTGAAGCCATATGTCTCTCATTTAAAAGGTGTTGGGTCAACTCTAACCATGTCATTACTTATCGGGATAATGCAAGGGAAAGATAGATTTTCATTTTGCTACATGGATTAGTTTGCAAGCAATGGTCAAACGGATCTTTTTCTGAAAGGCAGAACAATAGCAACGTTATCAGATTATGTCTGCTATACTCACCATGGTTTAAATGCCTGATGCAATCGTTCAGCATGGTGCTGAATTGCTTCTGAGCTTCTGAATCTGGAAAACAGTAATAATTATGTCTAAGGAACGGCTGCCACAGATAAACTGGAAATTCCTTTGGAGGGATAACAAAAGCCTGGGTATTGTCCTTTTCACTGGAACCTTAAATATATGCATATGTTTATGTTTTTAGTCATTCCAACAGGTTTACATGTAATTATAGACAAATTCCCAGTAGACAGGTAATCTTGCCTTAACATTTGTGCCACCAATGCTTAGTTTTCATTGCAACTCTAGGTGCTCTAGACACCACCCAGGTTGTAGCATCAGCCTATCTGAGCATTCAGTGAGCAGATTCCTTAGTCTGGACTCACAATTCCCCAGATTCAGAATGTATACGTTATATGCATCAGATGGGCAGTTATATAAATTTAATAAATATATGCATACATACCATCCCTAATCTGAGTAATTTGTCTCTGGCATCAGAATTGTGCCTCGGTGCCTGTTTTCTTGAATATTAGTGTTTACTTGACTTTGATTATGTCTCTGTCTCTTATTTCATTTTTGATGTGTGCTGTTGTGCCCACAGTAAAAAAATGACAATAAGGGTTATGTTATCTTACTTTCTTTGCTTCTGTTGAGCTTCAATTGTTGCTCTGGCTTTTGAGTCTGATATGACTCAAACTATATTACATTTCAGGACACTCATAGGATAGCACTTTATGGTGTAAGGTAGGCGAGCTTATTAAGTGCAGGCCTTTAAACCATGTGTGCAATTTTTTATAAAGACAATGCAACACTTGAAAGAGAACATCAATTAAAATGCTAAGCAGTATAAAAAATAAAGGGGAATGGGCTATACCTTACCATTAGGTTCTGGGAAATTTTTATCAGATAGTGAGTTATATTCTTCCCCTGTAATTAGCACTTTGCCTCCAACAGGGAAAATGCAAGTCTTTGAACTTACTCCTTTCTGGAATGCCTAGAATTAAGAAACAGTAGTAAAGATTTCCTTTTTAAAAAACAAAACAAAACACAAAAGCACCTTTGACTTAAGAAGTGGCTCCTAAAAATGAATGAGAGAA